CCGTTTGTTAATTAACTTACCGTAACTTCGTTCCGACGAAACTTTAGCGACACAAGTCCTTACTTAATAAAACTGGTTTATTCTTTCCGAATATAACTTCACGATACACTTAATTTCAACAATCATGCTAAAACAAACGCTATAACAATGAACGTGCTCAATAATACTCTCTGACTGCAGATCAATTACTCACTGTCTACACACACACACACATTGTCCCGTCACGTTGTCACCCTCTTATATATAGACCAGTCTACCCTCAATCTAGTAAATGCTAGGGCATTCACGAAGGAACAAGATATTTCTAGAAACATGGCGTGACACTAGTCATGTGACCTCGCTGACGCAACAATATTTTAATATGAAAGTAAATGTATAAATGAGCTGGAAACACAAGTCTTAAAATTAGAGGTATAATTTATAATTCATGTTAATGAAAGGTTGTCTTAAGACAAGAAAAGTTGCTTCCCATATAGGGCGCAAGGGGCAACTGTCCCAGGGCCCTGGAAGTGGGATATTCCAAACCTCACTAGAAATGCATACTACGTAATGAGCTAAAATGGCTTCTGCTATTTCATGGATTCATGAAGAAATTTGTCACCTAAATTTCTTTTATGAAAAATCAGCAAAAGTTAATAACTAGACTGAAAGGGGCCCGATGATATTACTGACCTCGGAGCCTGAGCTGGCTCTCGACGCCCCTGATTACATGTAATTGTAAAAAACGCAAAAATATCTATAAAACTGCAAAACACAAAATGTGAAACCGCATGTATCCTTCATTTCCTCTACCCACCACTCCCAAAGCATTAATCACTTTATCCATCCTCTACTGTGTGGTCAGTCATTATAGCAGAACAGAAATGGTATTAATTGCCACATGGTGTCCAGGAGCAAGATATTCAATAAATGAGCAGAGTCTCACTGTATGCTTGGACGATCTATCTGTGTTGCAGGCCTGGGTGATAATGAATTGTTAAATCATACTCCTTCAATGCAGTTATCTAGTGCGGTATCATCCATTTGGGGTTTTTAAAGCTCATCAACAATATCAATGATGCCTGGTCCATTCAATCAGTAAACTTTTTACCATACAAGTAGTGTCAGAAGAGTTTTACAAAGACAATGCCTGTAAGCATTTTTTTCTTCATTGTACAGTATATGTGTTCCATACTCATGAACATACAAGCATACAGGATTACATGTTTGATATGCAGTAATATTATATGTTTTCTATTAGCTTTTAGTAATATAGGAGATTTAATTTTAGTTCCTTTATCTAATTTCTAATCTGTTTTAGCATAAACACTGAAGATGCTCTGTTCTAGTTTCGTTTTTCTTTTGTTCTATATATTACATAACATCTACTTTCCGTGTTGAAATGATCAATGACTGCAACATCCTTTCCTGGCTGAATGGTTAACGTCTGTATGTTACACCCAGTGAATGGTAGGAAAAAAATGGCCAGTAATATGATGAAATTATCACAAACACAAATAAACTGAAGTTTCCTGTGTCAGTATAGTGTATTTGTTTTCTATGGAATTTGACTTGACTTTCATCATGACTCGGTTATACAAAGGTTCATCTCAAGTGAAGATATAATCACTGATCCAATAGAGGTGATCATCCATTTATCTATGCAGGTACACACATCTAATAAAGAATATTTTCACTGTCCATCTAATGTTGCCAGTTTGTTTATTTCTATCACAACTTAAAACTCAGTCAGGTTTTCAGACTTAAATTACTCCTACATTTCTTGTTCGACCTTGCTATTATTATAACATAATATAATGTTCACAGACAACAAGGTACCTGTTGGTCTATCTAGGCTGTCCCATCCTCTAAACTAAATTAAAACTATTAAATAAATAAAAAACAGTCTCAAAACCAGCCCTTATCATTAATATATTTCTCAGGTTTTTATCTTAAACTCACTTAACTAAACATTTATCTTTAAAATTTATCCACATTTGATCAGTGTCTCCATATAATTCAGCTGCCCAGTTTACAACAAATAATTCTCGTCACATTCCTTTAAAACTAGCTTTTCTTAAATCTGTAACAAAAATATTATTATTCTTGATCTCCATATGTAGCAAGACATCAAACCTAATAGAGCAATGATCACTTGCACTCAGATGTTCCCCAATTTCAACCTTCTCAACCATTTGTATAATAGAAGTTTACAATAAATGTAAAATGGCATTGTTCTAGTAGGTTCCTTGAACAATTGGTGAAGAAAACCATCTTAAACAGTTTCCAAAACCTTTCTCCGTCATGATTTGACTTTAAGTTTTCTCAATCTATAGGCCTGAAATTAAAATCACCAATAATTACTACTTCATTAACAACTGAAATCTTAATCTCACTATAAATATTCTCATTAGTTTCATCAGTATCATCGGATGGTCTTGTTATGTATCTGCTTATTTATTTGTTTCTGATAGAAATTTTTTCTGAGGATTTCCAGTGATACAAGTCCTTTCTTGATTAAACCACTTTATTCTTCCTCGATACAAACTTTAGTACACAGTAGTTCCACAATCAGTACGTTTCTTGTCACTTTATACTTAACAACTTTCATAATACATGCTATAAATCACAGCGATTCACAATCTCGATAACTTCGCTCTCAACGAGTACAAAACACACACTAGCTCGAAACAGAATCGTAAATTACGCGAAACTCACCGTGACTACTGTTCGCTTAACCCCGCTGGCTTTTCTCGCTAGGCTTATATACTAACAAAGAGGTGTTTCGATCACACTCGAACTTCCCGGATAATTCGAGAAACTCAGTCACGTGACGCTGGTTACACGTCATGAGATTCTCGAAGGATCTTGACTTTTCCTGGCAACTCTAGTCTTTACTAGGCGCCCTCTTTTATTGTATATTAGCCCGGCAAATAAAGCGGAGACAAAAGGGGCAGATAAATAGATATAGAGACAGATACGATGACGAGAAACCCACTTTGATACTAAT